CATGACATAAATAACGCTAAAATTGTGTGCTTTAGTAATTTGCTTTCAATTATTTTAACGCATTAAGGATTTTGAATTAATCGCATACAATAAATGCATTAATGTTAACAAGCCACTCTTTAGAACTGTAAGTACGTCATTACATACAATATCAAAACCAAGTGGCACAAAAAAATCTGTTAAAACTGCTCTCTTGACGATTCACTGTGGTAGGCCCACAATCCTACTGTAATGATCTATATCATGAGCGGTCAGGTTGGATAGGCAGGAAATTTCCAACACAGTCTCATGGCAGTTCATAACAATTTACAATTGGCGAATTGGTGGCGGTGGCTTCATCCTTGTGTGTGTCCCGCATTGGTGCAGGGTCCGCTTGTTTGCACTTGGCTCGGTCCAGGGCATCGTCAGGGCCAGGGTTGATATTGACTGCGCTCATGTTCTCCACCAGACGAGCGCGGATTGTCGTCCAGATGGTGATAAATGGTAGGCAATTTTCGCCACTGTATCATCGTCGCTTCTGATGACGTGGCCAAACCAGCAGAGTAGAGCTTCCCATGCACCTTTGGACATCTTCATTCATGACGCGTTCGAGTCGCGTGATGCCAAGGGACTAGCGGAGGATCTTCATCTCCATACCATGGAGGGTCTGCTCGTGCTTGGTGGTGGCTGGCCAGTACTCGGAACCGTACAGAGCGACTGGGAATAAGACGGTTTTGTAGATCTTGTCCTTGAGTGGTATGGGCATTTGGCAGTCACAGAGAATGCCTGTAACTTGTTGCCATTTGAGCCACGCCACATTGTCCCGAGCGCGGCTGTCGGGGAGGGAGTCACCTTTGCTCCTGATAAGCGAACAGATATTTGAATTTGAGCCTTGTTCAGTGGCTGCCCTCTAACTCTGAATGTCCTTTGTCGCTCTGGGGACGCACTCCATGTACTCGGTCTTCTTGATGTTGAGGCACAATCCGTGTATGTCCAGCCGCTCGTTCCAATCTCGCACTTGACATTCGAGCCCAGAACGGGTTTCAGCTTGGAAGATATCGTCAGCGAACAGAAGTGACCATGGCTGAGGCGCCTGAATATCCGCAGTGGGCGTGTTCATGCAAAGGATGAACAGGAGTGGGAAGAGGGCGGATCCCTGGTACACACCAACGGTGATTGGGAACTATTCGGACAGGCTGGCAGGGCATCGGACAACGCTGGTGGTGTTGGTATAGAGGAGCTGGATCCACCATACGTATGTACTCTTCGGTGGCGCCGCAAGAGCAGAGGGAATGCCAGATGAGGTCCCGGGGCACGCGATTGAATGCCTTCTCGAGGTCGAGGAAGGCCATGTGTAGTGGCTGGTTCTTCCCCACCATCAGTAGTCCCGCTTCCGCAAACAAATCCACACTGATTGGGACTGATAGAGACGATTTCGTTAATCAGTATTGGCTAATTCGTATAAATTCCTATGATCTCATTAGTTTGATTTTGTACTATCTGCTTATGCCCCAGTGACAGTTATATTTAGGGGTGGGGTTGGAGATGGACCTTAATTTTTTCTCTCTACATTTTCGTATTCATACAAAATCACTACCTCATAAAATAGATAAGTTTTCGTGTGAGATCTGTAGGAAATTTTAGCTGTATATCAAGTCCATAAACAGATAAAAGAATGTCCTGCTACTGTGATAGCAGAGTACCTACTTGCTCAATCAACATGTTTTTCAGATATATGCCTTGCTTTCTTCTTAATATCAGTGGGCCTTAATGCCTCAAACTATCATATTCTTATGTGCAGATGAGCATTGCCAAATAAAAAACTTAGCAGGTTTCATGTAATTAAAATTTTCAACCACAGATGGCAATAGAAAGGTCAAAGTTCCATGGTTCACCTTTAAGAAAAATAACATGCAAATACCAGAGAACGGAAACACAAGCGCATTAGAATTTCTCTGCATTCCAAAGTTCAAGTCTGGTGAACTTTGACCTGCAAATTCGTATCACTTAAAGACTTGTGAATAACAGAAGAGCAATACATCACGGCATGAAGAAGAACACAAACTGGTTTGAAGCTTTACAGGAAAGTGGAGTAGATTGTACATTTTCAAACCAGCAGCTTTAAAATTTGTGTTCTTCTTCATGCCAAGATGTATGGCTCTTCTGTTGGTCACACAATCAGATGCTTTCTAGAATGAGAACATCCCTCCACCTTTTAACAGTTACTTGCTGACAAACGTTAATGTGAGTCTGTTTAAACTCTCAATAACTTGACTCAAGATGATTGTGTGTTTGGGTGAATTAGGAGGCTTGGCGCTCTCACATTCATGGGATGCCGAGCATCTCTGCAGTTAGTCAGGCAGCTGGTGTGATGGGTAAGGAGGGGTGTCACACAAAATTACACTTACACGGGATGGAAAACAGATGACCAAGGGCACTGACAACATGCAGGGGTTACAAAGGCCAAGGCTCAGATACACACTCAAACACAAAGGCCCCTTACAACATCCTGGAGCCCTGCAGTAGATGTATAGGGCTCTGTAAACATGCCGCATTTCCCACACTGCACTTTCCTGATCTAAGTGTCAGCCACGACCCCCTCATTCCTCAGTTTTCCAAAACACCTCCATCAAGACCTTTTGACTTATTTCTTTCCCTGTGAATTGTATTGATCCTAGTCTAGTCAGGTTATTCATGGTAAACTTGTAATGCTTGACACAAAGACTTTGCAGTAAGTTTGCTATGTAAGTCAAACGTTTTGTTATGTTCTCCTGCCTTCCTTTTTTTTGCCTGTTCTGTGTGAGTGGAGGGGGTGATTTTACATGACTGGGAAATGAGCTAATCGCTCGGTCTTTATGACCTAATTTCAGAGCTCTCAGCTTGCTGAGACAAAGACAGGACCTACATTCCAAATGCTGCTCGGTGTGTGAGACTTTCTCTTCACAGATTATAAATGGGGTTCACTGTGCCTGTACCCCATACAGCAACAACGCTGATGTTTTTGCTGTTTAGTAATTTAAACACATTCTTAGTTAAAGATGGATTTTTAAAACACATTTTGTTTTACTAGATACTTAAGGGGGGTATTCTTTGCTCATGTCTTACTCTTTATTCACAGTTTTCATTCAGAGTAAAAGATTTGAGAATATGAGAATATAAAATGATTTGTATTCTCAATACTGGAGAATATAAAATGCACTTTCATGATTGGAGTGTGGTACATGTGATATTAATTAAAACATGACCAAAATAATACAGAACTGACTTTGCATTTCCTTGTATTCCTAAAAACTTGTGCCAACATCAAATCCACCATCGCCCCCTAGTGGCCATTAAAATGATATTAATATTAAAATGAATTTAAATTACCACTAGGGGACAGGGTTTTTTATTATTTTTGTTTACAAATGTTTCTGTACCTAAAATATGTACCTAATCAGAAATTGCCTTTAAAAAGTAGGTTTATTGAAAGTCAGTTTCTGATTAGGAAGATATTTTAAGTCTTAAATTTAATTAACACACACAGTTATTGCCCATAAAAAGTATTTAGTAGGGAATGTTGTAATAAGGACAACATGCTGATTTACACTGATACCTGTTCATTCCTTACACATTAAATGCCATTAATAGTCATGTAAGATTTTCAACAATAAATACCTGCCCCTGACATTAATGAAAAAATCCCTCTGTCATGACCTTCCAGGTATAATCTACCTTCATTATATAGTTAACTCTTGCTCTAACGGTTTAATTGTGTTCACTTATTTACCCAGGAGCTATAATGGAGTTTTAGCTTGGAGGGTGAAACCCAAAATGATCCTAATTTCTGACAAAAATGGTGTTTGAAATCAACAGGCAAAATTGGATTTAAATAAATAAACTGACAACTTCCTTGTGTAACTAGGACCGGTCTGTCCTATTGCTTCTTGATGCGCTAACATATCAACAAATCAGAACTTGGAAAAAGAACCCAAACTGAATAAATTGCCTTTATTATTGAAGATTTTAAAATAACAATGCTTTTTAAAAAAGTATAGGCTGGCATGAATTAAAGAGTCATCTGTCACATACAGGTCAGTGGGCAAATTAGTCAACAAATGTCTGCAGTTGCTACTACAGGATAGATATTGTTTATATATATATAACATTTTCTGTTATAGTATCATTGTATTTTCTCATGTATGCATTTTTATTTTCTCATATCTACTGAATTTTTATATATGCTTCCAATCAAAGAACAAGGCTATGGACTGTAGCAAAGGTTTAATGACTTACATAGAATCATTCTCAATAAAAATGTGCCATGTGTGTTATAAACACGTAAAAATTAATTTCAACTCATCAATCTCCTCAATCAATTATTCTTATGTATAAATGCATACATATACATTTAAGTGAAGAAAGAAAAAACTTATGAGAAACCACTTCATTATTCATTACATGATTTGTCACTATAGTTGTGGCAATAAATACATCCCTGAAAGCTGATTTACTTCTACTATGTAGGATTCTAACCATAAAAAGTGACAGATGTCAAAGAAGGTAACGGAAGTATTTCAACCAACTTACCAATTTTTAGTGCAACATATCCCACAGTTAAAAATAGTGTTGAATATCTCTTTTAAACAATGAAACAAACTTTATTCTTAATTAATTTCACATGTCATATGTGTGACTAATGTACACGTTTGCAAAACGTGCATAATGTATAATGTTCTACGTATGCTCATTTGGAACCTCTACCAAAATGTATATAGTCAAATTGGAAGTTTCATGTAACTGAGTAGTTTTAATTCAGCTGAATGTTGGGAGTGCCATGAGATGGATGTTCATACCAGACACTGAAAGGCCTCTGGCTTTAGCTTGATTCTACTTTGGGCAGCTGCTTCTCATAGGACACCTGCTCCTCTGCAGGCAGTAACTCCTCCTTATCATCCAGAATGAAGGACCTGCTGTGGGCGTTTCTGCGCATTGCGATCAGGATCAAACCTACCAGAAGTAGGGCAGACATGATGGCCAGGGTGGCCACTAGGAAGAAGGCTGGGAATAAGATACGCAAGACATGTTAAATTTTGTAATCAAAACCAACTCAAGAAATATTTCTTATTATTATCAATGTTGAAAACAGTTGTGCTGCTTAATATTTTTGTTGAAAACATGACACATTTATTTTCAGGATTCTTTGATGAATAAAAAGTTCAAAAGAACAGCACTTATTTGAAATAGAAATCATTTGTAAATAAATGCCTATTTTTTTAAAGTCGTTTTTATGCCTTTTTATTGAGATACAACAGTAGAGAGACGACAGGAAAGCACTGGGAAGAGAGAGGGGAGGGGGATCGGCAAAGGACCTCGAGACAGGAATTGAACTTGGGTCACTGTGAATGCAGTTGTGCTATGTGTCAACACACTAACCACAAGGCTATTGGTGCTGACTTAAATTAATTTCTTTAACAAAATATTACTGACCCCAAACCTTTGGAAACAAGTGTGGGCATATAAATTATAACTGGTTGGATGTTTGTTAGGTGTTTTAAAACCATGCCAGCTCCCTTGAGTGTTTCCATGCCGAAATCAAGTTGAAAAAGTATAAAAGAACCATTTATAACATATATAAGGTATTTAAAGTTTGCTTCAGATAAAAACTGAATTTAGAATGAATTAATATAATTACTATAATTATGATCATTCTAATGAATTAAATTAATTTTAATACATATCAGGTATTTAACAATGCCTTACCTGGAGTCCAGCGGTTACATTTGTAACCTGTAGAAAAATAAATACAACAATATAAGCTACCAGCAAAACAAAGTCACAAATGTACTACCAGAAGGAGAATTGCTGTTGTCCTCTTACCATCTTTCCCGGAGCAAGCTGCCATGCACTCTTCCTCACTGCTGTAGCGGTTTAGGTTTCCCTGGCAGCCTCCATAGATGAAGGGCTTACAAGACTGAGTGTTGGGCTCAAAGTAAAACACTGGGAAGGCTGCACGGCACGGGCCAGAGTCGGATGGCATGGCACATGTTTCTGTATTAAATTACAGGATAAAGAAAGTTTGGTTCATATTGTATAAACATTCACTATTGCATTATTGGCAATACTTTAAAATGCAGAAATTCGAGACCGCTGATGTAGAATCTGACAGAGATTATTGACGTGACTTTTTTTTGGCATTTTACCTTCAAAGCTGCGGATGCTGTAAGGAGAAGTGGGAACGACAGGTTCATTCTTGTTGCTGGGAATGACCCTTACTGGGATACATACACACAGAGTTATAATTTCATAGTGATTTATAGCGATGATGGATGATCAGGAAATGACCAGTCACACACAAGTGTACCTGTGCAGGTTGTCATGCATGATTCCTCAGTCTTATAATTGTTCTGGTTGCCACCACAACCTCCATAGATGAATAGTTGACAGGTGCCATTGTTGTAGTAATAGCGTCTAATGGAGGCTTTGCAGAGTCCGGTCTGTGCGGGAGCCAGGCACTTCTCTGATACGGCAAGACAGATGGGAAGAAGAAATTAGAACCAATAGTGTACAACTGTACTCTGCTTAAAGATGTGGACAATGTAAAAACACAAAAACTTATTTAATTTAAATAGTAAAACAAAATAAAGATAAAATACCTTGGAATTCATCTGATGCCATTTCAGGAAGAGGTTCAACGTCTGAGGAAAGAGATACAGAATATGTATTGTTTTATCTGTCACAAGTACCTGGTAAAATGGATACAACTAAAGACAAAATAGTGTCTATCATCCATTTTGAAGTTCATACAATCTCAGTTTTAATTGAACTGTGAAAGATTAGTATTCAAGACTACTATGCAAATGTGTCCTGGACTCCCCCAGACAAACTTTTAATTCTTTACAAATGTTTTTAGAGGCCATTATTCAGTTTATGCTGATTTGCTGCTCAAGAAATTTTTTTTTTTTAATCAATTCTCAGAATTGAGCAGTCCCTGGGTCCTGGACCCCCATACCCTCTTTTAATTAATTACAAAAGGATCAATTAATGTGTTTTATTATATATTATTAGTTGAGCATGATTGTTGAGAGCTCTGACACAAATTGAGCTATTTATAAAATGTTCAGTCAGTTAAGCATCACTCCTCAGCTGTGTCATAATCACTCATGTCTGAGAACCAGTCTCACTGGTATATCCAGCCTGGTCTCATGTTTATACGTAGGTATTAATACGTAACATTTACAAGCACAAAACGTATATTTTTGTTAGTTTTTATTAATGCTAAAACGTACAATTTAGACGTATTTCAACGTTTAAAACGTACAAACGCAAAAAAATATTTACGTATCTTTTATATCATTAAGATATTCGTATCAATGCATTTTATCAATAAGCGATTTCGATTTAACCTACCTCCAAACCTAAACCTACTTATTTTACAGCCAATATACATTTTTATAATTTTATTAATACGCAATTTAGATTTTTAGACCCCTTAACCTACCCCCAAACCTTAACCTACCCATTTTATAGCAAATATAAAAGGATATAAAACGCAAATGACCGAAATATGCAGAAAAATAGCCATTTTAGTAACAATATAGCATTAAAATATTTTGATAGTCTCTAATCCCACTCCTGTAAACCTAAACATTTCTGTACAGTATAACAAAATATGACAGACAGATAAATGCAATTACAATAATTTATTTATTGCAAACATTATTTATTGTAATCCAAATGATGCGTTGCACCCGCAGTCCTTTCTGGCGGAATACAGTAGGTTTGTGTGATCCAGAGCAGAATTTAGACTCGCTGCTCGGGATGGAGAAGCAAGCAGATCGCCGAAAAAAGGCTTGGATTTGGGTCTGTTTCTCGCAGTCGTATGGATTCTGCGTTTTTGGTGTATTTTATAGTTCTATTGTCAGTCACAGCATGTTGGGAAAAAACGCCTTTTGTGGCCTATGACAATCAAAGTAAACATTATATGACAAGTAAAGGTTAAACGATTGCAGAAATGTAATTTATTTTAAGGTTTAAAGTGAAGTCTTGTTTAACATTATGTAGGCATATTCTTGGAAACGAGCTGGCAGCAGAAATCACAACAAAACGAAATGTTATCATTTCACAAGTAAACAATTTAATAATACAATTGAAAACAAGCTAATTCATATGAGAACTAAAAACTAATCAAATTAATGCCGCGATTTCAATATTCACAAGGATGCATTTTTAGGTGTTGTCAGTTTTGTACGTTTAGATGCTGAAAATACGTCAGTATTGTACGTTTTAGTGCCTGTAAAAACGTAAGTAAATGTAAGTTTTATAGAACACATGTTACGTAAAATTCATACGAATGATCATGAGATCACGTTGCAGCGTATATCTTGATAACAGACAGATTTGATTACCAATGTTGTTTTCAGGTACGGACATTCTGCTGCGTTGAGCGATGGAATGAGAGTCCGCGAGCACAGCACCTGAAGAGAGCAGAGAGACACTTTAAATCACTATACTGTGTGTGTATATAACTACATATTTCTGAACAAGACACATATAATACCATTTAAAAGTTGGTACTCATTTTTAAATCTTTTAAAAGAAGTCTATTATGCTCACCAAGCCTATATTTGATAAAAAATACATTTATCTGAAATAGAAATCCTTTGTGACGTTATAAATGTCTTTATTGTCCCTTGTGATCAATTTAACGCATCCTTGCTGAATAAAAGAATGAATGTCTTTTTTTTTCTTCTTTTTTTTTACAGAGGCCAAACTTTTCAATGGTAGTGTAATTCAGTAACTAAATATCACACTAATCTTTTCCATGTTTTCTAAGGAAAATGAAGGGTAAGGAATGTTCTATATTTAAAAAATGTAGTGCAAGTCCCATGGACACAGTTTGCACAATTTGTAACACACCCTCACATAAACACACACACACAATAACATTGCATAACACAAAACAGCTCAGAGTGTTGCAAGTAAAATTCTTCGCATGATTTCCTGATGACAATAATAGGATTTTGCTTTAGTGTCTCTATTGGAAGCAGATGACATTTTTTTCCATTTAAACGTCATCTCATCTCATAAAACTGGTAATTCCATGGATCACAAAGGGTCATTCGGATACAGCAGTCATGAAGCACAATGACCCCATAAAGAGAACAAAAAATTCCCTTCCTCTTTCCAACCCAAAGTCTAAATTGATCACTCATTTAAAAGTAATGCTTAAAAGTGGAAAGTGGAAGTAATAAAAAGTGGAAAGAGGTAAAAGAAGTGTCAGCTAATGTGTTTGTTATGCCTCTGTCGAAAACAGGTAAACCATCTGCATAAAGGTCACCAAACCGGTTATTCAACAATCCAGGGTAAGATGAAACCAATTTAAGACATTCTGCATAAACCCACTGAAACTCACTGAAGTTGTCCAAACTGTAGAAAAAGTTACCTAATTGACTTTAACTGAAGTAGTTTCGATTTCAGCCCATAAAATTAAAACACCTAGTCTATATGTTTAGCTTTGAGAATTTGCTGAGAGTAATGCAACAATACAGACCGCATGTTACCTGGCTGAACTCTACTACGAACCCCAAGTGG